ACTAGCAGGTTGGAGGGCTTGAGGTCCCGGTGAAGGACGTTGGCCGAGTGGACGTACTTGAGTGTCTAACCGTGTCTCCCCGTGAGTGTCTCCCCGTGTCTCTCCCCGTGTCTCCCCGTGTCTCCCCGTGTCTACCTTGAGGTCACAGGTTGTGTTGTCTAGCAGGTTGGAGGGCTTGAGGTCCCGGTGAAGGACGTTGGCCGAGTGGACGTACTTGAGTGTCTAACCGTGTCTCCCCGTGAGTGTCTCCCCGTGTCTCTCCCCGTGTCTCCCCGTGTCTCCCCGTGTCTACCTTGAGGTCACAGGTTGTGTTGACTAGCAGGTTGGAGGGCTTGAGGTCCCGGTGAAGGACGTTGGCCGAGTGGACGTACTTGAGTGTCTAACCGTGTCTCCCCGTGAGTGTCTCCCCGTGTCTCTCCCCGTGTCTCCCCGTGTGTCTCTGTGTCTACCTTGAGGTCACAGGTAGTGTTGACTAGCAGGTTGGAGGGCTTGAGGTCCCGGTGAAGGACGTTGGCCGAGTGGACGTACTTGAGTGTCTCACCGTGTCTCACCGTGTCTCCCCGTGTCTCCCCGTGTGTACCTTGAGGTCACAGGTTGTGTTGACTAGCAGGTTGGAGGGCTTGAGGTCCCGGTGAAGGACGTTGGCCGAGTGGACGTACTTGAGTGTCGCCCCGTGAGTGTCTCCCCGTGTCTCTCCCCGTGTCTCCCCGTGTCTCCCCGTGTCTCCCCGTGTGTCTCTGTGTCTACCTTGAGGTCACAGGTAGTGTTGACTAGCAGGTTGGAGGGCTTGAGGTCCCGGTGAAGGACGTTGGCCGAGTGGACGTACTTGAGTGTCTCACCGTGTCTCCCCGTCTCCCCGTGTCTCCCCGTGTCTCCCCGTGTCTCCCCGTGTGTCTCTGTGTCTACCTTGAGGTCACAGGTTGTGTTGACTAGCAGGTTGGAGGGCTTGAGGTCCCGGTGAAGGACGTTGGCCGAGTGGACGTACTTGAGTGTCGCCCCGTGAGTGTCTCCCCGTGTCTCTCCCCGTGTCTCCCCGTGTCTCCCCGTGTCTCCCCGTGTGTCTCTGTGTCTACCTTGAGGTCACAGGTTGTGTTGACTAGCAGGTTGGAGGGCTTGAGGTCCCGGTGAAGGACGTTGGCCGAGTGGACGTACTTGAGTGTCTCCCCGTGAGTGTCTCCCCGTGTCTCTCCCCGTGTCTCCCCGTGTCTCCCCGTGTCTCCCCGTGTGTCTCTGTGTCTACCTTGAGGTCACAGGTAGTGTTGACTAGCAGGTTGGAGGGCTTGAGGTCCCGGTGAAGGACGTTGGCCGAGTGGACATACTTGAGTGTCTCACCGTGTCTCCCCGTGTCTCCCCGTGTCTCCCCGTGAGTGTCTCCCCGTGAGTGTCTCCCCGTGTCTCCCCGTGTCTCCCCGTGTCTCCCCGTGTGTACCTTGAGGTCACAGGTAGTGTTGACTAGCAGGTTGGAGGGCTTGAGGTCCCGGTGAAGGACGTTGGCCGAGTGGACGTACTTGAGTGTCTCCCCATGAGTGTCTCCCCGTGTCTCTCCCCGTGTCTCCCCGTGTCTCCCCGTGTCTCCCCGTGTGTCTCTGTGTCTACCTTGAGGTCACAGGTAGTGTTGACTAGCAGGTTGGAGGGCTTGAGGTCCCGGTGAAGGACGTTGGCCGAGTGGACATACTTGAGTGTCTCACCGTGTCTCACCGTGAGTGTCTCCCCGTGTCTCCCCGTGTGTACCTTGAGGTCACAGGTTGTGTTGACTAGCAGGTTGGAGGGCTTGAGGTCCCGGTGAAGGACGTTGGCCGAGTGGACGTACTTGAGTGTCTCCCCGTGAGTGTCTCCCCGTGTCTCTCCCCGTGTCTCCCCGTGTCTCCCCGTGTCTCCCCGTGTGTCTCTGTGTCTACCTTGAGGTCAGAGGTAGTGTTGACTAGCAGGTTGGAGGGCTTGAGGTCCCGGTGAAGGACGTTGGCCGAGTGGACATACTTGAGTGTCTCACCGTGTCTCACCGTGAGTGTCTCCCCGTGTCTCCCAGTGTGTACCTTGAGGTCACAGGTTGTGTTGACTAGCAGGTTGGAGGGCTTGAGGTCCCGGTGAAGGACGTTGGCCGAGTGGACGTACTTGAGTGTCTCCCCGTGAGTGTCTCCCCGTGTCTCCCCGTGTCTCACCGTGTCTCCCCGTGTCTCCCCGTGTCTCCCCGTGTCTCCCCGTGTCTCACTGTGTCTCCCCGTGTCTCCCCGTGTCTCCCCGTGTCTCCCCGTGAGTGTCTCCCCGTGTCCCCCCGTGTCTGCCCGTGTCCCCGTGAGTGTCTCCCCGTGTGTACCTTGAGGTCACAGGTAGTGTTGACTAGCAGGTTGGAGGGCTTGAGGTCCCGGTGAAGGACGTTGGCCGAGTGGACGTACTTGAGTGTCTCCCCGTGTCTCCCCGTGTCTCCCCGTGTCTCACCGTGTCCCCGTGAGTGTCTCCCCGTGTGTACCTTGAGGTCACAGGTAGTGTTGACTAGCAGGTTGGAGGGCTTGAGGTCCCGGTGAAGGACGTTGGCCGAGTGGACGTACTTGAGTGTCTCCCCGTGAGTGTCTCCCCGTGTCTCTCCCCGTGTCTCTCCCCGTGTCTCTCCCCGTGTCTCCCCGTGTCTCCCCGTGTCTACCTTGAGGTCACAGGTTGTGTTGACTAGCAGGTTGGAGGGCTTGAGGTCCCGGTGAAGGACGTTGGCCGAGTGGACGTACTTGAGTGTCTCACCGTGTCTCACCGTGAGTGTCTCCCCGTGTCTCCCCGTGTCTCCCCGTGTCTCCCCGTGTCTCTCCCCGTGTCTCTCCCCGTGTCTCCCCGTGTCTCCCCGTGTCTACCTTGAGGTCACAGGTTGTGTTGACTAGCAGGTTGGAGGGCTTGAGGTCCCGGTGAAGGACGTTGGCCGAGTGGACGTACTTGAGTGTCTCCCCGTGTCTCCCCGTGTCTCACCGTGTCTCCCCGTGTCTCCCCGTGTCTCTCCCCGTGTCTCCCCGTGTCTCCCCGTGTGTACCTTGAGGTCACAGGTAGTGTTGACTAGCAGGTTGGAGGGCTTGAGGTCCCGGTGAAGGACGTTGGCCGAGTGGACGTACTTGAGTGTCTCCCCGTGTCTCCCCGTGTCTCCCCGTGTCTCCCCGTGTCTCCCCGTGTCTACCTTGAGGTCACAGGTAGTGTTGACTAGCAGGTTGGAGGGCTTGAGGTCCCGGTGAAGGACGTTGGCCGAGTGGACGTACTTGAGTGTCTCCCCGTGTCTCCCCGTGTCTCCCCGTGTCTCCCCGTGTCTCCCCGTGTCTACCTTGAGGTCACAGGTAGTGTTGACTAGCAGGTTGGAGGGCTTGAGGTCCCGGTGAAGGACGTTGGCCGAGTGGACGTACTTGAGTGTCTCCCCGTGTCTCCCCGTGTCTCCCCGTGTCTCACCGTGTCCCCGTGAGTGTCTCCCCGTGTGTACCTTGAGGTCACAGGTAGTGTTGACTAGCAGGTTGGAGGGCTTGAGGTCCCGGTGAAGGACGTTGGCCGAGTGGACGTACTTGAGTGTCTCCCCGTGAGTGTCTCCCCGTGTCTCTCCCCGTGTCTCTCCCCGTGTCTCTCCCCGTGTCTCCCCGTGTCTCCCCGTGTCTACCTTGAGGTCACAGGTTGTGTTGACTAGCAGGTTGGAGGGCTTGAGGTCCCGGTGAAGGACGTTGGCCGAGTGGACGTACTTGAGTGTCTCACCGTGTCTCACCGTGAGTGTCTCCCCGTGTCTCCCCGTGTCTCCCCGTGTCTCCCCGTGTCTCCCCGTGTCTCTCCCCGTGTCTCTCCCCGTGTCTCCCCGTGTCTCCCCGTGTCTACCTTGAGGTCACAGGTTGTGTTGACTAGCAGGTTGGAGGGCTTGAGGTCCCGGTGAAGGACGTTGGCCGAGTGGACGTACTTGAGTGTCTCCCCGTGTCTCCCCGTGTCTCACCGTGTCTCCCCGTGTCTCCCCGTGTCTCTCCCCGTGTCTCCCCGTGTCTCCCCGTGTGTACCTTGAGGTCACAGGTAGTGTTGACTAGCAGGTTGGAGGGCTTGAGGTCCCGGTGAAGGACGTTGGCCGAGTGGACGTACTTGAGTGTCTCCCCGTGTCTCCCCGTGTCTCCCCGTGTCTCCCCGTGTCTCCCCGTGTCTACCTTGAGGTCACAGGTAGTGTTGACTAGCAGGTTGGAGGGCTTGAGGTCCCGGTGAAGGACGTTGGCCGAGTGGACGTACTTGAGTGTCTCCCCGTGTCTCCCCGTGTCTCCCCGTGTCTCTGTGTGTACCTTGAGGTCACAGGTTGTGTTGACTAGCAGGTTGGAGGGCTTGAGGTCCCGGTGAAGGACGTTGGCCGAGTGGACGTACTTGAGTGTCTCCCCGTGAGTGTCTCCCCGTGTCTCCCCGTGTCTCTGTGTGTACCTTGAGGTCACAGGTTGTGTTGACTAGCAGGTTGGAGGGCTTGAGGTCCCGGTGAAGGACGTTGGCCGAGTGGACGTACTTGAGTGTCTCCCCGTGTCTCCCCGTGTCTCCCAGTGTCTCCCCGTGTCTCCCCGTGTGTACCTTGAGGTCACAGGTAGTGTTGACCAGCAGGTTGGAGGGCTTGAGGTCCCGGTGAAGGACGTTGGCCGAGTGGACATACTTGAGTGTCTCACCGTGTCTCACCGTGAGTGTCTCCCCGTGTCTCCCCGTGTCTACCTTGAGGTCACAGGTTGTGTTGACCAGCAGGTTGGAGGGCTTGAGGTCCCGGTGAAGGACGTTGGCCGAGTGGACGTACTTGAGTGTCTCCCCGTGTCTCCCCGTGAGTGTCTCCCCGTGTCTCTGTGTGTACCTTGAGGTCACAGGTTGTGTTGACTAGCAGGTTGGAGGGCTTGAGGTCCCGGTGAAGGACGTTGGCCGAGTGGACGTACTTGAGTCCCCGCAGCAGCTGGTACAGGAAGTAGCAGGCATGCTCCGCGCTCAGGCGCTGCGAGCGAAGCAACTTGTAGAGGTCCGTCTCCATCAGGTCCTGCACCATGTAGCTGCAGCGGCGGCGTGAGGTGGTGGTCACGTGGTGGTGGTGGTGGTCACGTGGTGGTGGTGGAGGTGGTCACGGAGTCAAGGTCGTGGTGGTGGTAAGGTGGTGGTGGTGGTGGTAAGGTGGTGGTGGTAAGGTGGTGGTGGTGGTAAGGTGGTGGTGGTGGTATGGTGGTGGTGGTAAGGTGGTGGTGGTGGTGGTAAGGTGGTGGTGGTAAGGTGGTGGTGGTGGTGGTAAGGTGGTGGTGGTGGTGGTGGTGGTAAGGTGGTGGTGGTAAGGTGGTGGTAAGGTGGTGGTGGTGGCGGTAAGGTGGTGGTAGTGGTGGTAAGGTGGTGGTGGTAAGGTGGTGGTAAGGTGGTGGTGGTGGTGGTGGTGGTAAGGTGGTGGTGGTGGCGGTAAGGTGGTGGTAGTGGTGGTGGTGGTGGTCACGGAGTTAAGGTGGTGGTGGTGTTGGTGGTAAAGGTGGTGGTGGTGGTGATGGAGTTAAGGTGGTGGTGGTGGTGGTAAGGTGCTGGTGGTAAAGGTGGTGGTGGTGATGGAGTTAAGGTGGTGGTGGTAAAGGTGGTGGTGGTTCACGAGCCTCCTCCACGGAGGCCGATCTTGACACCGCTGGTACCAATTCCATCGCTAGACCAGCCCACTCACCCTTGCGTTAGACCCACCATAAACGTCGAAATCACCTCCGCTTGCAGGAGCCCCCTCGCTACATTTCCTCCTGCCTCAGCAGTCCGCCTGCTCTCTTGTTTCACCTGCAGACGGTGGCTCGTGTTGCTATCGAAAGGTCGTGGTCTCTTGGTTATTTTTCTACCTACGTGTGAATTCTTGCAGCCACGAACGCTTAAGATCAAGATCGGTACCGGTCATCGGCAAGTCCACTCAGCTCCAAATCCTCCTGTACCACGTCGCTCCATCGCTTCTCTAGCCCGAGTCACTCACTCACCCACTCACTCACCTACCCACGAAATCACTCATTCACTCACCCACCCACTCATTCACCCACCCACTCATTCATTCACTCACCCACCCACCCACTCACTCACCCACTCACTCACTCACCCACTCACTCACTCACCCACTCATTCATTCACCCACCCACTCATTCATTCACTCACCCACCCATTCATTCATTCACTCACCCACTCACCCACTCACTCACTCACCCACTCACCCACTCACTCACCTACCCACGAAATCACTCATTCACTCACCCACCCACTCATTCACCCACCCACTCATTCATTCACTCACCCACCCACTCACTCACCCACTCACTCACTCACCCACTCACTCACTCATTCATTCATTCACCCACCCACTCATTCATTCACTCACCCATTCATTCATTCATTCACTCACCCACTCACTCACTCACCCACTCACCCACTCACTCACCCACCTATTCATTCACCCACTCACCCACCCACTCATTCACTCAATCACTCACTCACTCACTAACCCACTCACTCACCCACTCACTCATTAACTCACCCACTCACCCACTCACTAACCCACTCACCCTCTCACTCACCCACTCACTCACCCACTCACTCACCCACCCACCCACTCATTCACCCACTCACCCACCCACTCATTAACTCACCCACTCACCCACTCACTCACCCACTCACTCACTAACCCACACACCCACTCACCCATCAGTTCCATCTCTCCTCTAGCCCGTGTCACTCACTCACCCACTCACTCACTTACTCATTAACCCACACACCCACTCACCCATCAACCCACTCCCTCACCCACTCACTCACTCACCCACTCACTAACTCACCCACTCACCCACTAACCCATCAGCTCCATATCTCCTCTAGCCCATGACACTCACCTTAAAAGGGGTTTCCCCCTTTTTCTGGCAACAAAACTGAAACCTTTTTACGATGATTCATGTCTGCATTAACCACAATACCTGCAGTCAAAATGCAAACAAAAAACATACTTTGATAATATATGCATTGTCCTTGAAACTGATTGGTCCACACCAAGGGACGGCTTTCTTTTGAGCCTCGACCCAATTGGTGCTCGACCAGATGACGCCAGAAGGCGTCACACAGCTCAAAGACAATGCCACTAATCAAAGTAATGAGGGCTCGGGGTGAACAGGGAATGGCTCAGACTCCCGGCCACGTAGTTTTACCCGGGCCTGCTCACCATCATGAAGGTCCTTAATGATCGTGAGCAGAGGGTCAGGGACTCAGAAAGCATGAAGAATAACCCAGAGCCCAGGCCTACTGAAACCGCATTGGGGCTCCGCAAGCCTCTCCTCAGCGTGCCTGGCAAGGCGATGTTGAATAATCCTTGCAAGGACCTTTCCCTGCACACTGAGGAGTGAGATGCCCCTGTAGTTGTTACAGTCTGTGCGGCCCCCCTTCTTAAAGAGGGGGACCACCAGGGCATCCTTCCAATCCTGCGGGATCCGTCCAGTGGTCCAGACTGTTGTTATGATGTCATGTAGGGCAGTCTGTGCACAAATGCCACCCTCCCTCAGCATTTCGCTTGGAAGATCATCTCTGCCCGGTGCATTTCCTGGTCTCAGACTCCGGATCGCCTTCAGTACTTCCTCAACAGATGGCACCTCAGCCAGCCACTCACAGGGGGTGACTTCTTCCAATATTTGAGACACCGCAGCCTCAGCAGGGTCAACCCAATTTGTCCCACGATGTTTTCCAGGTCGAGGGATTTCCCCTCCCCCAGAACCTCACATAAATGCTCAGCAAATCTGCAAACCTGTTCCTGGGGGTCAGAGATTGGATCACCATTCTTTCCCCTAATGATGGAAATAGGTGTGGCGCTGCAGGTTACTTTTTCATGGAGTTAAATAGCGATTTGTGTTCGCGGGCCATTGAGGCAGGCTCCATCTCCTCAGCAATCCGTGACCACCACCCATCCTTGCAGTGCCTCACGGCTCTCCGAACCTCCGAGCGAAGGCTGCGGTAATCCTCCTCATTCTCTGACGTGGGATTCTGTAGCCGATGACAGTGGGCCTGTCGCTTTTTCTCAACCATCCTGAACACCTCCTCTGTCAGCCAGGGTCTCTGGGGAGGTCTGGACCGCATACCCAAAGCAGCCATTGCAGCTGCATGAGTCACAGTCCTAAACCTCGCCCATTTACCCTCGACATCAGGAGGAGTCGGGGACGATGCCAATCCCAGCCGCAAGCGATGATGAAATTCTCGCTTGCAACTTTCATCAGATAACTGAGACCAGGCCTCAATGGGTTTGAATGGGGTCCTGGGTGTACACCCACCACCGGAGTGGAAGAATGGCAGGCGCATCTTACAGATGACTAGTCGATGGTCAGAGGGCAGATCAGCTCCACAGTAGGTCCTGGTGTCAAGGACATGGGCTCGCATTCGCTGGTCCATCACTATGTAGTCCAGCAGATGTTCTTGCTTGGACCCGGCATGCATCCATGATGTTGTGTGGATGCGCCGATGCCGGAACAGCGTGTTGGTAATTACAAGCCCATGGGCTGCACACAAATCTAGCAGCCTCCTGCCGTTGTTATTGAACTGATCTGGCCCATGCCCTCCAATCACTCCAGACCAGACACGTACACACACACACACCCCTGTAAACATACACACAGACACACCTGTACCCAAACACACACCTGTACACCCCTGTACACACACACCTGTACACATACACACACCTGTACACACACTCACCTGTAAACACACACACTCACCTGTACACACACACTCACCTGTACATACACACCTGTACACACACACACCTGTACACACACACCTCTACACACACTCACCTGTACACACACTCACTTGTACACACACACCTGTACAGACACACCTGTACACACACACACTCACCTGTACACACACACACTCACCTGTACACACACACACCTGTACACACACCTGTACACACACACACCTGTACACACACTCTCACCTGTACACACACACACCTGTACACACACTCTCACCTGTACACACACCTGTACACACAAACACCTGTACACACACTCTCACCTGTACACACACACCTGTACACACCTGTACACACACACACCTGTACACACACCTGCACACACACACCTGTACACACACACCTGTACACACACACCTGTACACACACACACTCACCTGTACACACACACACTCACCTGTACACACACAACAACAACAACCGCCATTCGCCACTAAGTGGCGGTGATGTCACCACGACGCTTGTGCCAGGCTATGTGCACCCTGAGGCCACGTGAAGTGTCGAACGCCCGCTGGCAGGAGGTCACTGGGCAGACCCAGGTGCCACGGGTCGACTGACTGAGATGACTGGTTGATGCACCACCTGTGCCCCCTACTGTGCCAACCTGCTGTGCTTTAGCCACCCGGCGCTCCGCTCGTTGTCCTGAGCGTCGCTCCTCCGCCCTCCGTTGTTGTTGGAGGGCGACTACCTCTAACTGCCCAGTAGCATCCTTCACGAGCCTCCTCCACAGAGGCCGATCTTGACACCGCTGGTACCAGTCATCGGCAAGTCCACTCAGCTCCACGTCCTCCTGTACCACATCACTCCATCTCTTCTCTAGCCCGTGCCGCGCCCGCTTAGCCCCCTCAATCCGGCCAAACAAAAGCTGTTTCGGCATGCGGTGGCTGGGCATGTGGGCTACATGACCCAGCCATCGCAGCCTTGCCTGCCGGAGGAGCTCACCGATGGGACCCTGCCCAGATCTTTCAAGGATTTGTGAGCTCCTCACACAATCCAGTCTGGTTAAACCCACGATGGATCGTAGGCAGGCCAGCCTAAATGTTTCTAACCGGCGAAGATGTTCCATTGGGGGGGTCCACGTTTCGCAAGCGTAAAGAAGGGAGGGAATGACCGTGGCCGAGAAGACCTGAAGCTTAGTGCGGAGCGACAGACCAGGTAGCTTCCACACAGCGTTACGCAACCGATGAAAAGATATTGCCGCTCGACTGATTCGGAGTGAGACCTCTGCTGTTAAACTGGAGCCAGTCATAAGCACACTGC